CCCGGCTAGTTTTTTGTAGTTTTTAGTAGAGACGGGGTTTCACCGTGTTAGCCAGGATGGTCTCGATCTCCTGACCTCGTGATCCGCCCGTCTAGGCCTCCCAAAGTGCTGGGATTACAGGCTTGAGCCACCGCGCCTGGCAATCATCTTTCATTTAGATTACTGGATTATTGCTAAGGCCTCCTAGCAAGTCTCTCTCTCTACTAGTTCCCCTCTAGCTTTCTCCTTTACACACCCCTCTCGTGGGGTAAGAAAGTTAGGGACTCCTTGGGAACACAGGGCTTGGCTCTCTCCCACCTTCCTGAGTAGCTCCTGGCGGCTATACTCCATTAGCAGGGGCTCTCCGTGCTGACTCTTATAGGTCTGCTGAGATCGCTCCTCACGCTGGGCAATATCTGGCAGGAAACTGCTGGCCCACACCTGTCAAGGGGCAAAAGCAGAGAAGAACAGACAGGTCCTTTACTTCCAAGCCTCCACATCATTGGCATATTTCCTTTGTCCCATCCATTAATCCAGTTCCTGTGTCCACAGTGCTGGCTCAGACTCAGCCAAGAAACCCACTGGAGCCCCTGACACCCTTACCTGGCAGTGGGGATGGGGGTTGGAACAGCCCATCATGGCACCTTTGTTTTCAAAGATCTGTCAGATAGGGATAGGGAGCTTTGTTACCCGAAAGACACCAAGTCAGCTCCCTCCTGACCACATCCTGTGGAAACAGAAATGTTACTCCCCAGAACCAAAGCTTCATCACCCCCTCCCTGCCCATCCAGGGGAAGGGGCGACCTCACAAACCTGCACCCAAGGGTACTGGGCACCCAGCTCCTCTGTGACTGAGGCCCATGCATCAACAACAGCCCGGATCTCAGGGACCGACATGAGTGGCAGCGTTACATCCGACCAGGGGTGGAAGCACATGACCTTACTAGGTGGTGGGAGGGGGATAAAGATAACTGAGAGGTAGGGCTTGGCTCTGCTATGGGCAGGGCCCGGCCCCAATGCTGAGTCTCCAACCCTGGTTTGAAAGTTGTAAGGGGAAATCCATAGTTACCAGACTCCTCGAGCAGCCTTTGCTTGGAAAAGGGGATGATCACTGGGTCCTGAGGTAAAGGAGTATGACTCTCTGCAGCAGAAGTCCCTCAAGAGGTCTAGCCACCCTCCTCCCCAACAGCAGTTGGAGCCAGGTTACCTGGACTGGGGGCATCAGGCTGCAGAGCTGGGAAGTCGTTGTCAAACAGGAAGGTGCTATCGTAGTGGGGATTCACCTACTGACAAGGATGGGCTAGAAGCACTCACTGCCCCATACCACCAGTTACCTGGTGGGCTTCAAAGACTGGACAGGCTACAAGTGAGTAGGCAAGGCCCACTCTAGGGGACCAAAAAGCTTGGTGGGATATAACCCAGAAGGAGGTTCACTACCCCTGTGGGTGGAGGACAGCTCTAAGAGGGAACTACTCCCTGTGGCCCAGCCTGCAGATGCAGGGCTCTACAGGCTTACCTCTCCATTGGCTCGGGTGGCCCCGGGACACAGAGGGTTGAGGGGGTCATGGCGGGGCACTGTCTTCAGAAGCTGGGGCTCCACTTGACCCTGCCAGGGCCGCTTCATGCGGTGAGCTGACACCAGCACCCACTCATCCTGCAGCGGGTTGTAGCGTATATGCTGATGGTCTAGGGGCAGACAGTTAAGATCAGTCCTCAGAGCTCTCTAGCTCCCTCTCTCCTGGGTCTCACCCACCAGCAGGCCCAAGCTCGGAAGCGTCCTCTCCGCCCCGTCCCGCTCAGGAGCTAGAGGCCCAGGATTGGACCTTCCCAACGCCAATTGGCCTGCAGCTCGTACACAGGCGACTGTATGCCTTGTCGGTCTGGCTCGGGATGAGCGTTCCAACCTTAGGTGGGGGCGAGAGCTTCCTAAAGAAGGGGAGGGCTCGGCTCCGCGCCCCAGGGAGTCCCTGCCGCGGTGCAGTTACCGCTTGCCCGGAAGGTTGCTGCTGCGGCGTCCGCCTCTGGCGCCTGCTGGCGCTGCTCAGGATCGGTTCCGCTGCGCGACATGAGGCCACCGGGGATCCGCTGGAAAATCTACAGGGAAGTGCCTCACCCTTCACTTTCTCCGTCTACACCGCCCCTCCCCGCGCCGCCCCCGATGATTGGCCAGCCGCCAGCACGTGACTGACGGCTGCCCTGCCACCTGGGGGCGGGGTTCAGAACAGCTGTGAACCCTGGGGGCCGACATTGATGATCCCACTCCACCCAGACCTGGAGCCACTACACTGGAAGAACCTCTGTGAAAGCTGCCTACTGCAGAATCCTTGGGCTCCAGGACGCCTACAAGACTTGCTTGCTGCAATCATTCATTTGATCTTCCATTCAACAAATATTTACCGAGCATCTACCATGTGCTAGACACCTAGGCTGTGTGAAGCATTGGGCTGCGCAAGTCAGGCATGGCCTCTGCCCTGCCTGAGCTTACATTCTAGGGCGAGTAAGGATATGACCCTGGATCAACAGTGCCTCAGTCACCTGCTCAGTGGCTGTAGTGGAGGAGAGGCGAACTTGGTGAGGCTGTGTGGAGTACTATATCCATATCCTATCCCTAAAAGCAGAAACAGATTTCGGAAAAAGGGCTGAGTAACCATATTGCCTTTCTTTCTCTCACTCTTGCTCTGCTTCTTCCTCTCTCTCTCTCTCTCCTACACACACCAAGACAGCACAAGAAGTGGGAGGGGTAAAAGAGCTATAAAAAATCTACAAATGGCCGAGCTCGGTGGCTCACGCCTGTAATCCCAACACTTTGGGAGACCAAGGCGGGCGGATCACGAGGTCAAGAGATTGAGACCATCCTGGCCAACATGGTGAAATCCCGTCTCTAGTAAAAAAAAGAAAAAAAAAAAAAAAAGCTGGGTGTGGTGGCGCACACCTGTAGTCCCAGCTACTCAGGAGGCTGAGGCAGAAGAATCACTTGAACCCGGGAGGCAGAGGTTGCAGTGTAGTCCCAGCTACTCGGGAGGCTGAGGCAGAAGAATCACTTGAACCCGGGAGGCAGAGGTTGCAGTGAGCCGAGATCGCGCCACTGAACTCCAGCCTGGCAACAGAGCGAGACCTCGTCTAAAAAAAAAAAAAAAAAATCTGAAAATGTGGGGAGTACAGGACTATCAGAAGCTCCAGCCATCATCTAGGTGGGGCCTAGTGTTTCCTTTACACATCCCCTTCCCTTTTCTAAATTTTCCTTGGATCGGACCAATTGGCTAACACTAGGATAAAATTCAAATGAATTCCTCCCCTGGTACTTTTTTTTTTTTTCTTTGAGACAGAGTCTCACTTTGCCACCCAGGCTGGAGTGCAGTGGTGTGATCTTGGCTCACTGCAGCCTCCACCTCCTGGGTTCAAGCAATTCTCCTGCCTCAGTCTCCCGAGTAGCTGGGATTACAGGTTCATGCCACCACACCCGGCTAATTTTTGTATTTTTAGTAGAGATGGGGTTTCACATGTTGGCCAGGCTGGTCTTGAACTCCTGACTTCAAGTGATCCTCCCGCCTCAGCCTCCTAAACGGCTGGCCCCCTGGTACTTTTAAAGAGCCATCTAAATATTGTCTAAACCTCTTCCCCATTTCACAGTGGGGACCAGAGGACTCAAGGTCACCCAGAGAATTAGTGGCCAGGCTGAGATTTGAATGCAAGTTTCCAAGACTCTTCCCAGTGCTGTGAGATGCCTCTGAGACTTCAGTGGAATGTAGGACAGAAACCCAGTGACTTAGAAGTTGAGCCATAGCAGGGACGTCCCTTCCCCCAGTCCAGGCCAAAGCAAGCTAGGTGTTTTGCAATTGAGCTGCAAAAACTAGGTCATGGGTCATTTACTTGATCTCTGCCCTAAGGTCCTCAGACTGTAGGAGACAGGGAGCTGGGGACTGAGAAACCGGGATTTTACCTGTCCCACTGGCTGTTCATATTACCCAAAGAGGTGAGACAGGAACAGGAGATCTGCTTTTCTATTGTCTCAGTTATATTTGAGTGACTAGAGTTTGTAGATAGCTCCACTTTCCCAAGAACACTAGTGCTTCAGTGCCACACCCTGAATCATGCTAACTAAATCCTGACCCCCATCAGGAACATCTTTCAGGAGCATCTCCATAACTCTCCTCTATGACTCCCCAAGGTCATTTTTTGGAGGAAGAGGAGAATGACTAAGATGGAGCCTACCCAGCTCCCTCCCTCCCAGATCCCAGAGGTGTTGTTACAGTAAAGGGGTCCCAATCCAGACCCCAAGAGAGGATTCTTGGATCTCATGCAAGAAAGAATTCAAGGTGGGTCCGTAGTGTGAAGTCAAAGCAAGTTTATTAGGAAAGTGAAGGAATAAAAAAATGGCTACACCATAGACAGAGCACCTCTGAGGGCTGCTGGTTGACCATTTCTATAATTTTTATGTTTTTTTTTTTTCTTTTTTTCTTTTTTTTTTTTTTTTTGGAGACGGAGTTTCACTCTGTTGCCCAGGCTGGAATGCAGTGGCTTAATCTTGGCTCACCGCAACCTCTGCCTCCCAGGTTCAAGTGATCCTCCTGCCTCAGCCTCCTGAGTAGCTGGGATTACAGGCACCCACCATCATACTCGGCTAATTTTTGTATTTTTTAGAGACAGGATTTCCCCATGTTGGCCAGGCTGGTCTTGAACACCTGACCTCAGGTAATCTGCCCATCTCGGCCTTCCCAGAGTGCTGGGATTACAGGTGTAAGCCACTACACCTGGAAAAGCTTTCTGAAAGACCAGATAGGGGAGCTGTAGGCCCAGATGATCCCAGAAAGCTGTTCCTGGAATGGGGAGCAGACACCAAATTTGGGGGCTAATCCCTGCTGCTCAGGGTTCTTAGTGAGTTGTCCAGTCAGAAATGCCACAGAAGCCAGAACCAATACAAAAGTATGTTCCCTCAATCCTTCATTCTCCTCTAGATAATCCCTTCTTTATCCTTAATTTCTCTCCCAAGTTTCTTTTTTTTTTTTTTTTTTTTTTTAGGGGTCTCCCTCTGTTGCCCAGGCTGGAGTGTAGTGGTGCAAACATGGCTTATTGCAGCCACTACCCTTTCCTTCTTCCACAGCTGACCTACCCCAGTTTCTGTATATCTGCCCTTCTGGCCAATCCAACAATCCAACATGGGGTCCATTATATT